CTTAGGGTCACATGGATGTTAAGCACAGAAAATGTACACTATCAATGTATATTTTTTTCAACAAAATAAACATTTAATTGCCGATCCGTGAATGAATCGGAGAATTCTTATAATGATCAACGTGTGCAAAAATGTAAAAAAAACACCAATTGGCAAACTTTAATGTACAATAAAACAATATGTTTTGTGATACCAAATAAATTGTTTTCGTGTATTGAATAAAGTAAATCCCACAGAATATCATATAAAAAAAAACAAAAGGATTTTAAATCATGTGCAAATGTAACAGCTTGATAGTTTGATTGACATAGTGATGCAGCCTTGAAGTTTTTTTATTGTATATTTTAAATACAATTAATTATACATCTTTAACAAAACAAACATGACTTAACTATTTAATCATTTCCTTGTATGTGAATGCCTCCATCTAACTAATATTCATGATGGTCATGATTATTATTCAATACATTTGATATCATCATTGACATAACAAACTATTGTATCACCCAGGTAGTAACAATACCAAGGCCCATGCAGAAATGAAATTTTTAATAATGCATGTCTACCCAGATCTCTGGGATTCACAAAATAAATTATTTTGCCCAATTATCAATTATGGTTCCTTATGAATAATAAATCTGATGTTGATCACAGGTGTCAGATTTAATTGAAATTTCCTATCACAAACATGCAAATACCCCTTATAACCATAGGATTTTTTCCTATGGGTAAAGTCCATCTCATGCTGGAAGGCTTTGGACAAAACTTTCCTTTATCCTCCCCTCAGACCAGGCTTGGCTGTTACCATATGGGCATTGGTTGTTGATGAGAGTTGACATTTGTGTGATGATTGCTTTGTGTTATACCCCTCTAGAATAAAGTCATTGTCTGCAACTCTGCAACTTGGGAGGTTGCAACCTGGGTCATTGTTTTGGTTTTTTTCTGAATTCAGAATTTTGAGTCTTGGGTTGCTATTTAAATGTTTATTTTGTTGAAAAAAATATACATTAATAGTGTACATTTTCTGTGCTTAACGTGCACGTGACCCAAAGTCTGGACAAAAGATCCCTTTCTATGAATTTGGCTGGTATATCACAAGGTGTTTCCTGTCTTGTCAGTGGCATGCCTACTCACAAACAACCTTACCTCATTTAAAAAAACAACAAATTCAGTTGGACAAACAAAAATTAAAGAGAAACAGAGAATTTGGAATGATTAATTTAATTTATAACATACCAAAATCTGAACCATTTTTAAGACTTTTTTCTTTTCCTTGTTGGCCATATTGCTGACAAAGATGTATATAATTGTGTGATAATTTTAACCTACAAGACAGAGAACTTATACTACAATTCATCAGCAGAGTTGTGACTTGGTCACAGTGCCATCCTTGCCCTAGAGGTGGGATCGTTGCAGGCAACTTTTCGGCTAGCATGCCAGCGGCTATCTCTGGTCTGGGAGGATTAGTGAAAGTGTCATTGACGATTGATGCAGCCTCGGTAAACTCCAGGGCCATGTTCCCCCCCCCTGGATTCTGTTGCATCATTGTATCATCATAGAAATCTTGGTCAGATTAGCCTTATGTACACGAGAAAGATATGTGAATGACTGTAAAGCGTTCAAGGTAGCATGCATGCTTCAACATCTGTAAATTTCCGATAATCAAACATTGCATATTTGAAATGTGGATTGTCTCTTTTTCAACGGTGTGCTGCCTTGACATCTTGTGATTATAATAATATTATGGATTACAAAAAGAAAAATGCCAATCGTTTATTGTTGATAAGAATCTCATACCGTGTTTGATTCCAATTAAAATGTTTATAAACCAAAATAAAAATATCAATCAATACAAATAAAGAAAAGTACCTCTGGTTAGTTATTAACACGTTTTCTTTAGGAGACCCAAGCCAAACCAAACAACAACACTCACGTTTTGTCATTTTGGACTCTGTCAAAAAATAAATTGTTTTTCCAAGAAAAAAAAAAAAAATCTGTCCTACCAAAAAAAAACCAATAGGATAAATAATTAACGTGTACGCATCGATCAAATATATGAAATAACAAATTTCTTTTATTAAAAATTTAAAATTTAAAATTTAAAATTTAAAATGCCACGACAATCAAAAAGAAGCAATCAAAATAATACTGGTGGAATTGCTGGGTAAGTGTTTTAAGAATGTTGGTGGTGGCTATCGCCCGCCACTTGTTGTTACTCTAGTTACATTAAAAAAAACGGATAAATTTTTAGTATGTATGTTAATATAAAATGTATTTATTTTTTATAGGGAAGCGCCCTAGCTTCTGGCCATTTAGTCAAGTATTCGGTTGCCACTACCATATACTTGTCTCCCTTCCTAGTCTCAGGCAAAGAGAAGAAAATTAGTAAGTAACGAGATTCCATTTGGGCCAGCAAGCTATTTATTTTGTTTAATGAACAATTTGTTAATTTCCCCCAAGTTCTGTCTGGATGGTTTCAGAATATTTAATTCATAATTGAGGTTAGGTATGGCGATGACATTATAATAAATAACTGGAGGGGTTTTAGCATAATTCCCCAACACTGTTTCCATGACAACCCATTTCACCAACTAAACTGACTTAAACAGCTTAGCTAGCTAATAAATGGTTAACAGATTAACCAGCTAATAAATGACTTAACAGATTAGTTGGTTAATTGGCTGACATATTTCATTTCTTGATAATGATAATGTCATGTATGGTGGGAAATATTATGATAGTCTGATAAAATGTGGAAAACGTCTTGTTGGGGAAACATCTGTAACCTACCTTTTATAGTTTAATCAAAGGATTTGTGAGTGCAGTCTGATAAGATTTACTTGCATCCAATGGGAACTTGGGGTTGAAATTAACAAACGTATTTTTGTAAGATAAAGAATAAAACAATGATATATTCTTTCTCAATTTATGTATTTCATTTTATTAATTTTATAGGATGATGATGATGATGCTGCTGATACTGATACTGATACTACTGATGTTGTTGATGATGATACTGGTGATGATGCTGCTGATGATACTGATAATGATGCTGATGAAGATGCTGATAATGCTAGAACTGATGCTGGAACTGAGGGTGAAACTGAAAGCGAAGAAGAAGATGATGATGATGCTGGTGATGATGCTGCTGATGTTACTGATAATGATGCTGATGAAGATACTGATGCTGATGATGCTGGAACCGAGGATGAAACTGAAAGTGAAGAAGAAGAAGAAGAAGAAGATGATGATGATGACTATGTTACTACTGATGATGAAACTGATACTGAAGAGGTACTTTTTTTATAAGCTTTTCTGTTTTTTTTTTTTTTAGAAATTCAAATTCGGATATTTTTCATGCTGCTTACACTAAAATTATAATAGTTGGAGTGGGAGAGAGAATTTGATATTAGCAGAATAGGATTCGATAGGGTAGTGAGGGAGGTGGCGGGACCCAGAGTGAGATTTGAGAGAGGTGCAATTCGTAATTTTCAAAGGGTACAGTTTCTTTTTTAACCAAAGGATTGATTTTTTTAAAAAAATATTAATAATTAATCTTGGCATTTAAAATAGTTGGCGGAGAGGGCAGTAGTCAGGTTGTTTAGAGATGCGTAAGTACAATACCAAGTTAAAAAATTAATAATTAAAATGTGATTTCACTAATCATCTTTTTTCAATTAGTGCCAGGTGCGCAAGGTATGCAGGGAAGGAGGAGGTGGGGGTTGAGGATTTACAATTTGCAATGGAATTCAGAGAATCTATTCGACAAGAGATTCTCTCTAGTTTGTAAATAAATAAAAATTTAACTTTTTCCTTTATGGGTGACTAGAAAAGGACAGGGGACGGGAATTAGCCACAATTACCTGTACCCTGTCCTTTTCAAGATTCTTTAAATAAAAATAGAAAAGGACAGGGGACAGGAAATAACCAACACCTGTCCCCCGTTCTTTTCAAGGCTCTTTTACTTAAAATCCTTTATTTATTATATTGTAAAATATGTAATATAAAAATGTTTATTTAATTTTAATAAAAAATACATAAAAAGATTTATTTTTTTGTATTATTTTTTGATTTGATCTGTTTGCTACGGCGAACTTCTTGTTCATTAATTATGTTAACACTAACACAAAGAAAAAAAATTCATTAAATTGATACATATAATTTTTAAAAATACCATATTCAAAGTTACCTTTTAGCTTTCTTAGCAAACGCAATTGTTTTACTATAAATAATAATATACAAAACTTTAATAATATAGCACAATTAAAATTCAATATATATATATATATATTACTACTCACTTTCCATCTTCATTGTGATCAATTAAATTATTATTAGGTCTGTAAAAAGATTCGTGTGAATAAAATTCACACAAAAAAATGTGCGTTACATAAAACAATTTGATTTTGACTCAACATATTAATATATTAATATATTTACCTAGTATGGAATTGGTTTTTTTTCTCAGCAAAATATTCAATTACTAAGGAATAAAAAAAAGTTAGGAATTGATTATTTAATTCAAAAAAAACTTTGCAAAAAACTCTCAATTTATTCCTGAAATTGCATTTTGGTTGGGAATTTTTACATTGTAGTTAGATAATTTTTCTAAAAAAACTCTTAAGAATTTTATATGAATGAATAAAGATGAAAAAAATAGAATAAAAATGAATGAATAAATAATTTAATTTACCAACTTGTTTGTTGATCAGTATACGGAGTTGCAGTTTCTTTTAACAAATATGCACTAATAATATTTAGAGAATGTTTTCCTGAGAGTGTTGTTGGATCTTTAGACTCTAATATTGACATTCCCCCATTCAAATCATCATAATGGTAGACTGCACTTAGTTCATTGCCATTGATATTTCTGATTATTATTATTTTACTGTAAAAATGTGTCCCATTTGATGTTGTGCTATACACTCGCCAAATTAAATTATAATTTAAACTAATTTCATTCACACTGCAAGAAAGATGATAAGGAAAGTCTAATTCTTCTGATGGATTAAAGCTGTTGTTATCCCTCTGTGCTATCTCAAAAAATAACATTGATGGCCAAGAAATTATTAATTTTTCATAGTTAATTTCTCGATTATCACATTTGCAAAGATTTGCACATTCATGAGGACAAGGTTCATCTGGATGGACACAGTGAACATACTTATTCTTTTGTTCAAAGAAAGCTGAAATTTGTCCTTTTAATTCAGGCTTGTCTTTAAAATAATCAGTTTCGAATTCTTCCATTCCATTTATTGGAAACAATGGCTTAATTGGTGTTGGAGAAATACACATATGTCCAGATTTACATGTCCATATGCATACCCCAAGAACACAAAATTGAGATATTATTTTCAATGAACTTTTTTCTTCAGCAATAATATTCTCAAACCAAAATGTCAGAGATCCATATTCATTGTCTTCTTGCCATTTCTTTTCCAGGATATGATGATGAACAATTTCTCTAGCTTCATTGAGGCTAGATTTTGTTGTTGTTACTGAGCTATTTATCATATCTCGAATATTAAAACTTGTGTATAACTTTTTTAGTCCTGAGTTACTATTTAATAATCCAATATCTGCAGACCACCAGGTTATATCATTGAGATAACATGTATACAACAACTCTAAAAGAGATGTTACATAACAAGAATTTCTCCAATGAGTATAAGATTGATATCTTTCTTGAATTTTAGCAAAACTTTTTTTTGAAGTATTATTATTTTTTAGAAGAGCTTTAGTAGTATCAGGAGGGTGACGGTCATTAATTCCAGCACCTTCCTTAGATCTTTTTCCTCATGACAATTTAGTGAATCCATGCTCTTCTGCAACTTTCTTCCAAGGTTCCATCTTGCCATATTTTAAAGTCTGTCCTTTAGCTCTATCATTATAATTTGTTTCCAAAGAATTCATAAAAAGAAGAAGACTTTCCAAACCTTTACAAAATAATTAAATTAATTATATGATACAGTGCAAAAAAAATTATTTTAGGAAAAACAAATACCTGTTAATATTGATTGATTGGTGTTTCCACACAAATAATATTGGTGATGAATGGACTCTTGTGCATTAGTTGAATTTGGCAACAATTTTTCTAGCTCTGGATCCATTGAACTCAATGCGGGAAAAAGAATTTTCCCTGCATCAGTGAGTAACCACCAATTCAGCCAGGATTTAGTGTTAGGCCAAATTTCTTGTATATATTTAATTGAAATATTAAATTCTCTTATTGTTTTGATTTTCAAAAGTTCCATCACCTTTAATTGGAATTTTGTTGAAGAATCATGACTTACAATTACATGATTACGACAAATCCTTGTTACTGATTGATGAAAATGCTCCTGGCAACCTTTCAACAAGGATTTATCTTCTTTTTCCAGGATTTCTCTATGTGTATTTGCTAAACTGGATGGTAAAGAAGAATTTGTATTATATGATTTTTGAAGTCCATGCTCAACATATGCATCTATAAAACCATTACGTTCTGCTGCACTGAAGTCTGTCACTTGGGCATAAAGATTGTTTGTGTCTCTGTTATTTTTAAAGCTGTCAATCCAAGTGAACAAATACCTAAAATGTTCTTTATAATGCATTCCATCCTCTCTCATAATTATAGAAACCAAAATTGGAACCCATCTTTGCAAGAGTGGACAATAGATGGAGCTATTATTTAAATAAAATTATATTAGTAAAGATGAAAAGAAAATATTATTTTTTTTATATAACACATACCTTGTTAATAGAAAAGCATTTTTAAAATATTTATATGTGCTGTCTGTCAAGATACCCGAATAATTATTTTCAGAGAATGCTTGAGCTTCCATCCACTCTGATTGCAAAACAATTATGCCTTTATTTACAAGATCAGCTTTGCGAACAAAATTTGTATGAGCCTTTTGAAAATCAAGGAAATCCATTATAAAATTATCATCACTATGATGAGATGTTTTTGTAATTAAATTTTCTTCTTCAATTGTTTTGCGTCGGTAGTATCCAATGCAATCACTATTGGCAAAGGCATCTGAAATGTTCCTAACTGAAACCAAAGGATGGTTGTTATTTAAAGACTGACCAACTTGCAATTTTTTTGGTAAAGTGTCAGGTGCTGCATGAATTCTTTCTTTAAATTGTTCATTCTGAGTATTAAATGGTTTTTTTTGTATAGGTTTTTTGTGCTCATGATGCCCTCTATGTAAAAAAAAGAAGATAAATCCATTTTCGTCGGGTTTATCCAATTTGACAAACTTACAATTTGCTGTGCATTCAACCCATCTCAATGAGCCTAATATTAATAAATTTTTATTTTATGAGTTGTTTGTGTTATTGATGAATATAAATAAAATTAATATACCATTGCAAGTAGGTAATGGACATCCTTTAATGAGTTGCTCATCTATTTTTTTTCCATGGCCCTTAATTATAGGTCTAACTTGAGCTTCACATTTTGCACATTCAATCATTCCTAAGCATTTTTTATTATTGAATTTAGCATTATAAGTAGGATTTCTTTTAGATTCAATGCAATCAAAAGCCCAGCCACTTTGAAGCCAATCCTTAGGTTCTTTGGAATATTTTATGATGAAGTCTCCGCAGGGCCAATGGGGATAATTTTTGCCTAAAAAAAATAAAAAAATTAATTTGTGTAACATTTCAAATATTTTTAAATTAAATCAAGAAAACTTAAAAATTACTATTATCTTTATTTGAATTAGTTGAATTGCAATGAATGCAAGTTGTATCAGATTCTGAAAGTATAAATTGTACATAAAAAATTTGAGTAATTGAAATATTTTATTAGCAAAAATCAATCATATTATGTATACCTTTCTCATGAATAGAATCATTGAATTTTTTGATGAAAGTAGAGGAATTTGTTCATTTTAGATTAACAATATATAAAACTGCAAAAAAAGTTTCTTTCTAAAAAGTATAGTTTAGCTCACCAAATTTTTGTTAAGTTTTCGTTTTTCACGTAATTAAATTTTTTTTGTTAATTTCTCATGTACATGTAATTAAATTTTGTAAAAATCTTTTTGAAATTTAAAAAGGCTTTTTTCTTAAAGCAAATATTGGATGATTTTATAATCATTACTCAATTCATTTTATTTACAAAAATCCGACTAGAGTTGCCTTTCAAAATTTAAAATTAACTTTAGAAATCTCCTCAAAACTCCTTTGAAACTAATTCAGAAGTAGTTTAGAAAATTTAGAAAGGCAACTCTACATCTAACATTTTGACATTTTTTGACATTTTATCTCATAATAATTTAATCAAATTAGTCAACTTGTATTTTGCTAACTTGCCATTTTGATTTTATTCTGTTTAATATATTAAAACTATTCCATTTAAAGTAACTTATAAAATTATTAGAATTATTCCATTTAAAGTAACTTAAAGTATGAAAATACACAAATAAGTCAATGTTTATATGTCTTAAATCATTATATTAATTTATTATTTACATCCTATTTTTAGTTAATTGTTTTAAACTTTGCTTGTCCTTTTTAAGATTTTCAAAAAAATCTAAGAAAAATAAGGTACAGGAGATCGACCACATTTACCTGTCTCCTGTCCTTTTCTATTTTTATTTAAAGAATCTTGAAAAGGACAGGGGACAGGGTCACATTTGCCACACATGTCCCTTGATTTCACCTGTCCTTTTCTATGTTTTATCATAAATTACCTGTCCTGCACCTGTCCTTTTCTAAATTTCGTATACAAATATTGAAAAGGACAGGGGACAGGCATTAGCCACAATTACCTATACCCTGTCCTTTTCTTGTGATCCATTGGGGAAAGGCAATTTCCTTATCAACAATCCAGTACATTTTTGGTACTGACAGATTTCACGTAAAGCTATAGTTCCTGGTCTATAACAATGAGGCTTTCTGGTCCTACCATCTGCTTGTTTTATTATTAATAAATGAAAGAAATGCAAGTTTTTTAAAACTAAAGATCTTAATTTATTATTATGATTTTGAAATTGTTCAAACCTGACTGGTCATTGTTAGTTGTAATGATTGTAATAGGTGATTGTAATGATTTGTCAATTGTATTGGTTTCTATCTTTTAAAAAAAGAAAATGGATATAGTTAACAAAAAAATAAAATGAACAATAATATACAAAAATTTATATTAAAACTTACAATGGGCTCTATGACATCTTCAGATCATTATAATTGATATAATTATACATGAAGTCAAAACTATTTCGACCATTTGCAGATCTGGTCAAAATAGGGTTGAAATAAGGTTGAAACT